AGAATGCATAAGCCATTGTTATTTGATTGTTATGTTTCCACTATGCAGTCTGTCCTTTGTTCTTGGAGATGTGTTGAATGGCATACTCATTCATGTATAGGTTATCAGTCGCATCATCAATCTTAAAAGGTTTTGGTAACACGACACAAGCTTCCTCTGCTCGAATAGCATTTTTTTCTCAGAGATGAATGCGTATCAACTAACTCAAATAGGATGAACAAAGTCTTTGAAACACTGATCATGTTATCTCTTGCACAGAATTTGCTCAATGGAGTTTTACTTTTTCGTTCATTTATTTACTTTTTCACAAGCAACAACGTATACCGACTATCTACAATGGAACTAATAAAGTTTGTTACGGATAAATTTTGAAGCAAGATGGCGTTCTCTTTCCGTTATAATAAATTCTCTGCCGATAGGTTTTGTAGATTATAAAGCATGATGACGTTTTCTTTTCGTCTATTCATTACGTTTTCACAAGCGATTACGTTATCAAGTTCTAAATAGGAATTGACAAAAGTCATTTGAAACGAGAATCACGCTCACACTGCAGAAGTATAGGACAACGTTGTTCGTTTGGCGTTTCCTATTTGTTCGTTTGTCATTATTTTTGGAGCGGATACGTTATCAGTATCTAAAATAGAATCCTTAAGTTTTTTGTGATGAGCCAAGCCTCTTCTGTTTATAGATTCATTATTCCGTTTGTTAGCTTTTTCACGAGCGATTACATTATCTGTGGATAAATGAAGTGCTTACGATAACGATTGTTTACTCAGCTGATTGTAGGGGCAAACCTTGTTCAATGGCGCTTTCTTTGATCTGCCACTTTCACAGGTAGATACGCTATCAGTGATCTAAAATAGGACAATAAAGCCTTTTACGATAGCCGAGATCTTACTTACTCGGCAGATTATAAGAAAAGCAAAGTTGTCTCGTCACGTATTAAGGTATTTCCTGCAACACAAAAACCTGCTACATGGTTGCACATCAGGACAAAATGGATTAATTAGGAAGTTGGAAGTCCGGTCTGCATATTCGTAGTATACTTGTCGCATCTCAAGAACAATGACAAACAATGCGATAAAAGCCTTTGTGCATGTGTTGTGGTACATCATAAATATACGTATTTACAATCACTATATATTAATATTAATATTAATACTTATAATTAAATAAACCATTCACGTGAATGATGAAAGTGATGACTAAATTACAGAAGAAACAATAAAGATATTCTTCAAGAAGAAAACAACTCGAGTCTTTTTCGGCTCACAATTTGATATTTTTTAACCTATCTTGCTGGGACCTTTATTGAGCATGTATGAACTTATATTATTACTGTCTACTGCGGTCAGATTATAATTACGATTAATAAAAATGTTATTAGAACGTCAGATGATCACTTAATGTATTACACAAACATGTACATATCCGGATATGTAACACGAAAACGGGTCTAACAAGCCCATGATGGTGAGATTGGAATAGTGTATCAAAAATTTCGATAACGAATATTGGTGACTGTCTATCAATATATTGAAAAATAAGCCTGTATTAGTATCATATCAAATAAGGAGTAGGTTTATTGATGCGCAATTCTTTACAGTAATTCTTCACATCATCAATTTATTAATTGATAAGGGCACTGCCTGAAATGGTATCCCATTCTTTCAACGTGATAATTTTTTTGGCATGCGCTTTCTGACTATACCCTTCTGGTTTATAATAATTAGGATGGAGTATTAATCGGGTCTGGGCAGTTTACGTGTAGAATGATGCGATTTAAGGATTGAATAAGGACTAGGGTGAAGATTGGGAAGAGGAAGATCTAAGAAACCCGGAAGCATAGAGAAGAATAATTTCAGTAATTGAGGAATTCGATATGCGTTCTGGCTCAGCCGGTACAATGCCGCATCAAGTGTAGATGCAGGAGAAAGGGACGAAGTTTTATCGAATCGACAAAATTTGACGGTAATACTAGTATGAAATTATAACTAAAGCAATTATCAACATACTAAATTCTTAATAGAAATTAACTGGCATCGATATTTTCACATTCGTTAGCCTGTTACCCTCAGATTCTACTCCAAACCCATACAACATTTCGAGACTCACTTATACGATTTGGATGAAATCAGTCGGTAGAAGCAAGATTTCGGGTTCGTCATTAGAGTAAACCTGAGCGCGAACTGAGTCGGAGCTCGATGATTTCCTACGCAGACCATCATAGAGGATTGGAGGGAGACTATCATGCGAAAGATTTGGAGATAGATTTGGGCATAAGTCGTTGTGTACCTGATAGATCACATCTTCCATTATGGAAGTCTCGACAATGGATGCAACAGCGGGGTGCGAGAATGTTGGAGAATTTATCATCTACTTGCTGCTTACTGGGCAGATGCCTTTAGCATAAAATATTGATTGGCTTTCGACACAGGATACGTTGTCAAGTAGCATCTATATCCGATGAAAAAGGAGCTTGGTAATAATTAGCATGCAACCAAGACAAATTCGCGTGTCACTCTCTACCTGTAGCGACATTCTGTACGCAGAAGAGATAGGTTATCCAATTATTCAAATTTATGGAACGCGAAATCCACGTGGTATACCCAGCATTCCGTGAATAACGACTCTACTAAGGCCACAACCCCAGAAGCTCCCCCATCTATCTTATCATGTAATAGTATGCTTTAATTCATGGATAACCTCCTTGAAGAACGATTTTACGCTCAAGGGGACACTATTACGAAATCAATCCGTCAAAAATCATGTCAAGAACAATGCGATTGGAAAATGAAACAGCACTCAATAGTGATAGTAATCGCTTAATTGGGATTATTCTTATAAATGCCCGTCTTTTATCTCTCTGTATCCCTTTCTTCGCCAGCATCCACCAAATCAAGAATATGTAGCACAGCGCAATTAGACATTGGCCTTATTATCGTAGGCACGAGCAGAAATATCCATAAAGTGGCTGATCAAAAGTACGCCCCTGCTCAATATAGACTGCGCGACGTTATAGAAATGGAACCAGAGTGTGAGAACGTGGTCAATTTGGGTAGAAATCAGTAGAACAGGGGAACGTGCGAACAGCAATACATATTACTCAGATACTGTGGACGCTACAAAGTTTGAATATCAAGGCAACACATATGACCGAAGAAGATGCGGGCATTAAGAATTAACGAGAAGGGGACGTATGAATATAAGAGGAGATATATAATTGTTACTAGCTCGGTATATGATGCTACACAACCGGTAGAAAGAGTAGGAAGTATGATCGAGAGAGTTTTTAGTAAGGAGAAGGCCGAGTGTTAGGTAACCATTCTTTATTAATAGTAATTCTTTAGATATTCACATAACGTCCCTCCGTCAGCGTGTTCAAAAGTCAAGTGATAATGACCACCTGACATATCTGTTTACATTCAGAGAATGTGTCAAAATAATGAACAGAGCAAGAATAAAGTGACATTAAATATATTATGGTGAAAATGAAGAGTAGATTGATGGCCGGCATGCTTCTAGTCTCATTCTCGATCAGGCTCATTCACTGGCGTTGATATACAAAGCCTTATTATTCTATACAGGCTTTACGTCTTCTTCCCCTTCTGTTTGTCGTTAAGTGTGTTTAGCGTTGTGAGAGAAATAACCATTTCTATGTCACTGCTGTCCTGTGGGGTTTCTTCTGCTGTTGATTGGATGTAATGATTTATGCATTTTTCTTGTTCTAACTCGTTGATAGTTATTCGAAGGATATATAGGAGTCGAATTTATTGATATTAGGTAGATTCCGTTTCTTGTAAGGTAGATAAACAACCCATTTTTCTTCCTGCGAGTTCAGCCATACTGTACTTTCACTTACACTCTCGCAATATGTATTTATTGCCTGTAAATTGAATAATATCGAGTTAGGGTTAGAATTACAGAACAATATAAGAGCGCACGAGTACTCGGCAAAAATACCGGCAGGAGTTTGATTGTATACCTTTGTTCTTATTATGTACTTCTCACTTGATAGAAATCAATACTGATAATGTGTCTAACGGGACCGTTCCGTTGCATTCTCCTCCGATCCAGCCAGAAAGCGGTGATCATCGTAAAGAATCTTTATGCGCAAATGTCAAAGTAGTGAAGTGCCGGATGTAGACATTGATGCCTTCATGCTTTAGTAGAGTTGCTCAATCTATGTCAAGACTGTATTAGTATTACACTTTCTTATCACAAATTTACGTATATGCTCAGTACTAAGCCAACGTAGCGAATCTTCGCTCCAGTTTGATGATAATATAGGTCAAGTTTAGTACGTTTGGGCGTCTCCGAACGTCTGAATTGAGAGTCGGGTTTGATGTATGTATGAGTCGGCCGGGTAAATCTAATTATAATTATCAATTAATCAATATTAGAATATATTTAACCAGAATCGATATTCACTTTTTCGTCAATCCTTACCCCTAGATTCTATTTCGCTTCCATCAAGCGCCTGAATCCGATAACATACAACGCAGTTCGGGTGCTTCTAGCACTCAAAAAAGCACAATATGAGCTTCGTATGGCCACGATACTTTTTTGTAATCAGAAAGAAGGGAAAAATTAACAGTAAAGTTAGAATGAGAGTATTTTGGACACTGTAGTCCTCAATGTTTACTCCGCGTAATACCTCTTTGTTTGCGCACGAACTACTCACCGTAACTATTCTTCCACAGTTGGTGCTACCTCATACCGGTGGAGATAGTACAATTCTGATGAATTCCTTCGTTTTCCTCTACAACCGTTTTTTAGAATCCCTCTTGCTCCTCTAATCCGTTAGCTCAAAACTCCCATTCAATACTATAGCCGTCCTTCCAGTATCGACTTGCAAGCTTATAGTCAAATTCTGTACATTCGTCTCTTTTATTCATCCTAAATCTTATCTTTCTTCGTCGTCTCAACTCAAGTATGCTGAAACAGTCCCTCTTTCACTTAATACACAGTTGCACCACTTCTTCTTCACTGCAAAAGCTTCATATTCGACAAATTTTTCTCCATAAACGCTTCTTCAACGTCTTCCACTTTTCCAATCCAAACTTCACACGTTCGGCGAGAATTCCCAACTCTGATAGCGGTACCCGTATATCGAATTCCGTATTAGCCTTCTTCATTCTTGCCCTTTCTTCATCTTTCTCCGACTCATCGCCTGCCTAACTCAAATTCATTCGAGGACTGAGATGTCCTTATCACATAGCAGTTTTCCTACTGCATCGGCAAAGCCATCACTTCTAAATATTCGACGGACTTCTTCCAACCCAATCCCTCAAAGTTGTCATTTGGTACGTAGCCAATATCATAGGTGCTTGTTGAAAAGAGCTTCAGCACAAAATGAAGAAAAGTTTTGCTCCATTCTGACCGTCAACAATCTACGTCGACGGCCATGCCAGTCGATCTAATACGTACCATCGAATTTTACATATTTGACGAAAATCACGTTCCTCCTTATTTATATACCCTTTTCGAGCTCATCGTTCTACGCTTCTAATGCTTGCGGCATCATTACTGGCCGAGTTCGTCCCGTCTCATTCGGTTCCACGGTCTACTTTGGATTCAGACTCGAAGTATTCGGGTAATCGAAGTAATGTGTATTGTTGTGTTGGTGGCGTTTCAGGAAATGGTAATATCAATCTAGGTGGAATTAAATCGATTTGCCGACTGGTTGGAAGACGAAGCCCGCGAGGAGTGGGAAAGTGAGTTTAAAAAACGGTTTTTACGAGAGCCAAGAGCTAGCCAGTGCCGAGCAAGAACAAAAAATCCGAATAGAAAATTTGCGAGCTGGGATGAAGTTGGAGGATAGACAGTTTGAGAAGAATGAGGGCATTGCGGTTTTCGCAAGCAAAGAAAAGAATTTTTCAAACAATTACAAGGGGCGGGGAAGCATGGCGAAGCCAAGAACCGCCATAATCTTTGGCTTGCGTGAAAAGCAAATATTCCGGATCGACATTGCTATTATGTTCAGTTCTATTGCCAAGTTCTATATTTCGAGAAACTGGTTGAGTGAACATAGAAGTCCACCAACAGCAAAAACCACAAGATTGCAATACTAGTAGTTTCAGCACTATCCATAATAATAACACTACCAGTATCACTTGCAACGTTACTATGAATGGGAAATAAAAAGTTAAATCAAGATGCAGATTATCAGGGAATTTACCTGCCATGTCGTACAGGCTCCATTCAGATGGCTTCTTCTCCAGACGTGACCTGGCAGGTAAATTCCCGATATTTAAAAGTGACACACTTATCTATTGTCTGTATTTATCGTAATTATAAAAATAAGCCTTAAGCGCTCGGTTTTAGTAACTCTCTCCCATGCTTTGCGCCCAAACCTCCCATAAGATAATAATAAAGGGGAATTCCGTCCTTGCCTCGTACTAAATATGGTGGTGAATTATGTGGAATTAGTCGAAGCCATCCTCCAATTCACCTGATAATTTGTCAGAGAAACAAACCGAAACCACAACCGCCAATAATGATGAGGACCTCGCTGATAGGGTAATAGTTGGCAGCAAGCTTACAATGCTCAGCGTAGATTTCACTACCATGTACACATCAATCAAACTTCGTACGTGTATATGGCCGTTCTGTTGACGCAGTCCTTCAACCCGGTGCCCTTGGAATATTATCGATTTTTAAATCGGCTACAGTAGAACTCAGCGTGGATTCACCTGAGTATAGACGGTCATCCGTGCAATACTGGCGCACTAGGACGAGATAAACGAAGGCAACCCTGTGTTCGCCACTGGACGAGCTACTCGCAAGGAATTGCTCGTCCGCAAAACGAATTTGTCCTTTACCGAAAGGACATACAGGCGGATTGTCTGCATATAAGTTAAAGACTACGACATTGAAGAATTCTTGGAATTGCGGGCGCGCGACGGAGAGACGATTCTGAACCGAGAATGGAAGGCTGAAACTTGGTTTCGGGCGTCTTGCAACAAATTAGTGGAGACGAGAGCCGCACCGGGTTGCTCTATTCATAAAATGGGGTTTTCTACAGTGTTGTTTTAAAGAGACATTTAAAAAACATAGATTTTTATCATGGTTCCTTATACTCATAGGCTAGCTCTGTAGTTTGTTGTCTTTGCTAATAGTAATAAAATTATTTCTAATTTTTATTGCTATGTAACTCATTATTATGCCTGTCTTTTATGTCACTGTAGTATTGACCATTTAAGCTGTTTACTTACTGTAATTGTAATAAAACATTCACCGATCGTACCTATCGAATTAATCCCATCGATAAGTGTAGAAGCAGTCACTGCAGTTTAATTAATAACCAAGAGTCTGGGTATGCAAGACCGTACGTAAGAGTCGTGAGTATAAAAAACCAAATTAAGGTCACTAACTGTTAAGCCAGCCTCGTTTAAAAGATTGGAAAAATAAAAACTGATACAGGTAAACGACCGGCGGATGAAAATAAATGTAAAACAGCTCATTTGAAACGCCGAGTCTAGATTTATTTAACCATAAGTTAATATAGCATTCTTTTCGATAAAAAGCTTGCAGCGCGTTTTATAGAGTTAACTAAATTAATTAGAATCGTATCAGGAATTTTTCTGCCATTTCCCTCCTACGTTTATCTTGACTATATCCCAATTAAATTTAAATCCGGACCGGTCAGTTTATTAAGTTTGACACATTATATTAAGAATGACTTGGAGATGAATTTCTCTAAGTCTTGTGGGATGGAAATCAACAAATTTGCGCCCATTTATTTGACCAGTTCCACTCTTTTCTATGCCCCCATTGAGGACAACGGTGCTAAAGTCCTAGAAATGCAAGTAATCGGGTCTTATTCTGTCATTTAAAATGTCTTGATGCATGTATACTGACGGTGTTGTCAAATATTCGGGTAACGAGTACGAAAACGCTTTCAATATGAGTCACTGATAACACACCAGACTTTGATTTGTCATTTAACAAAAACCTTATACAGTCAATTGCCGATAATTCGACCCCCCATAATTCGACCTTTCCAATAATTCGATCGCCTTGAGTAAGACCCGATTTTTTCATATGATTTTTCTTCCTTTAATTCGATCGAA